CGCGTGCGCGCGTGCGCGCGCGCGCGTGTGTGTGTGTAAATTAATGTGAAATGAAAATGAAAATAATAAGTGAAAGGGCAGTACGGTAGCCTGTGCACCGGTATGCGCAACTTTATAAAGGGCACTTAATTAGTGTATGATTCGACTTATTTATCTCTCAAGATCAGTGTTCTCATATAGGAATGATATTATTATATAGGTACAAAATGTCTACCTAGACACAGACATACAGGTGTGTCTGTGTGACAATTTACTAACACACACACACTGGAAGATAAGCAGGGTACCTGTAAACAAAACAGTGACGTCGAGAAACCTTGCATAGGTTCCTCTCGCGGCGTTTGTCTTTCTTTCGTCTGTCAAGCAGTTACAGTCAAGCAGTTATAACACAGTTATCAATGTCACCTTTCAATTTCAAAATTTTGTTGATTCATCAAGCCTGTTCTAGGCACAAAAATTTAATAGTGCCGTAATTGCTTTTATTTAACCCCTTACACACAAAGCCAACAATTTTTTAAACCGTAGGCCTACGTCCTGTTTTACTACGACTTGGGGAACTCTGTGCCACCACTTTCCAAAGCGAAAATTGACTCGTTAATCCGACCCCTACGCCTACGCTTTGCATAGCAGTCTGTCAAAATTATTTTTTGAGAAATATCCTGAGTGAAAGTTTCAAAGAGATCTTCGTACTAGGCTAGAGGTATTTTAAAACGTGAAGAATACAACACCGGGGGTACAAAATGGCTCCAGGGCGTACGGATGGGTTAAACAGCAAACAAACAAACACACAAAAATGTAATCAACAACAGGATTAGGCCCAAGTTGATAGCCCACATCACATGTATTTTCTTTTATTACAATGAGCGCCTATTTACCCCCCCCCTCTCTCTCTCTCTCTCTCTCTCTCTCTCTCTCTCTCTCTCTCTCTCTCCCCCCCCCACAAAAAACACCAAAAAAACAACAACAACCCGATAACGACAAACCTTTTAGATCTAGATTCTAGATCTAATCTACATCTAGAATCTAGATCTAGATTCTATAGCTAACACCTCAGGCTCTGAGCGTAACAACCATGGCTTTCAGGTTCTACATGTACTAGATCTAGATTAGTTCTAGACAAGTCACAATGCATCATCTTCCATTTTCAGCATCAATTCGTATTTCTTAAAATGTAGATTATATATTTTTTTTTCACTTTCACGTCTGAGATTGAACAACTCCCAATTTGGGACAGATTGGTCATTATAACTGCCGGGAAAATCACTAAAATCCGTTGAAAAAATAACAAGAGGTGGTCGTTTTTCCCAGCAAGATCTAAGAGAGAGAGAGAGAGAGAGAGA